TTTAGCCACGAACCACTAACTGAACTGCATTTTTGCGGTTCATGCCTATCTCTACCAGGCAAGCAACAGAATTTGTTTTCATACAATGTTTGTGTAGGGCTGGATAGTGTAAGAGGGCTCAGAAGGGATCTTTGGCCCTCCAAATCCTCCAAGATCCCCAAGTGACATAAGTGCTGCTTAGCCAATCACTTACAGAGGGCTGATGATCAGTACAGTACAGATTCAAATATCTAAATGAATTCTTCATATGCTTTTACTATAGAAACTTGCATGCACTGAGACAAACAGAAGTTGGTCAAGTAACTACCAAATAATTTGCTTCCTTAGCATAGGACATGTGATTTTCTTATCAAACCAATATAATGCTGTTGGAGGTGAGTAATGCAACTACAGAGGAGCTACAGGTTAAAGACAAACTCATAAAAGAAGTTGATCAAAGGGGAAACAGACACACATCTTTGAATCATTCAAGAAATTGAATGGGGGGGGAGGAATTGCAGAAGTGCTTTCGGAAAACAGACAATGCTGATTTCAAATTCAAGTTAATTTGAAATAGTGACATGTGGATGAAAATCTAACAAGCCTGAAATAGACACTCTACATTATTTCAAACCTGACAAGAACCCTGCTTGCAGGGGTACAATCTAATATTACCACCAAACTGTAGGAAAGAAAACATTTTAAAAAAAAAAGTTTCATCTTTTGGTCATCCCATTCATGTACTTGGATGTCCCAGCTTGACCCAATCTTATCAGATCTCAGAAACTAAGCATAGTCAACCCTTATTAGTATTTGGACAGGAGACCACCAAAGAAATCTAGGATTGCTACTCGGATACTCAGAAGCAGGCAGCCCCGTAGCTAGGGAATTCTTTGGGAGGGGGCCTTGGAGGGGCCCGCCAGCTAATTAAATGGAAGTACAGTGCAGGTGGTAAGTTGGAGCACTTTGGGGGCAGTCCTGGAGGGAGGGGGCCCAGAAGAAACACAAGGGGGCCGGGCCCCGTGGGCCCCATGTTAGCTACGGGCCTGGAAGCAGGCAATGGCAAATGACCTCTGTTCATCTCTTGACTTATCACCAGAAGTCAGCTGCAACTTGATGGTATTTTACACAAACACATTTGTGTATTTATTGTGAAAGCACATATTGGGATTTAATATTTCTCTAAAGTTTCTCCCCTCCCCTTTTCTCTTGTATTTAAGGGAGGAAATGGAGCTGAGCTTATACAAAGTTTATTATAATCTGTGAACTTTCAGCTGTGCTAAATAACAGCTCCAATTTTCAGCAGTTTTAGAACTCTCCTTGCAAAAATGTCCTGACTTTCATTCACTCTCAGTTGTCCTCGTTTGTCCTCAATGATGCCATCATGTTCCCAATTCAAACTGGCTACACAGCATTGTGATGCCAACCCACTCACTGCCTGTTCTATGATTTGGCAGGACTGTCAGGTGGTTTATCCAGAAAGGGAGAAGAAACAGTAGCCATAGAGAGAGAAAAGAACAGTTAGCATCAAAGGAATAAGGTTTTAAAATGGAATATTTGTACCATCTCAGTAAAAAAAAAATTATGTCCATGAATGCCCAAATCCATGCTTATTTAAAATTTTACTTTGCTCAATACAGTAATTCAAAGAGAAAACTCTGATTAAATATGTCCTTTGAAAGAATAGGGTCAAAAGGGGAGGGGACTCGACCCCGAGATCAAATATTTCCTTTGAAAGACTAGTCTGTTTTTTTCTTTTAAAGAGATCCATGGATCAATTTGACCAGCCCTATTAACTTCAAATGTGACACAGTGCTTTAGGTTTTGCTTGCGATCACTGGTGTCCCCCCCCCGCCAGCAGTGGTGGAAGCCATTTTGAGTTTGTTGTGCAATCATGTGGCACTGAGCCACCATCTGAGGAAACACAACCGCTTTCATTTTACTGTTGAAGCAGCATTGGGCTCAAAGGCTGCATAGGGAGTGTCTTAGGGAATTTCTTTGTCTGGTTAAGGCACCTTTGCCCTTAGGGATCCAAAGGGGCAAAAGTGATTTTAGGGGGTGGTGTGGTGCTTAGTATAGTTTCCCGTTAGACTAATTATAGCTAAGTGTTAGGATTTAGTCATGAGTAAATAAGTAAAAAAGGGGGGGGATAAATAAATAAACGTACTCAGTATAGTGTAGCTTGTGCCGCATTCCCTGCAGTACGTGGTGCAGGCAAGTGCACTGGTCATGCCAAGTGGTGTAGTGGTTAGAGTGTCTAACTGCCATCTGCTGATCCTTGCCAGAAATTTTGTCCAGTTACATGCCCACTCAGGGCCCTTAGAGGCAGGCCAAGTACCAATTGTGATCAGCAGGGCTAGGAGGATTCCAATTTGGCCACTCTAAATCTTGTGTTTCTGGTCACACTGGGTGTTCCTAGCATGAAGGCACCAAAAAAGCACTGCAAAAAAGGAGATGGATGAGTGAAAAGGCAGCCTCCAAAAAGAATACCAGCCCAGCTGTTGTCTGATGAAGAAGAGGATGCTAGAACAGCAGAGCTGAGGGCAAGGATTGAAATTGTGGAATGACTGGCCCAGCAGCCTTGAATTTTGATGGGGCAGGCACCTGGCATTGTGCTCCCCCCCCTGAAAGTATGCAGATGAGCAGCTGCAGCTAATCATTTTCCTGTTTCTTTGGCAGCTAGAGTTGCAGCATTGAAGGCAGAATTGTTGGATAAAGCACCAGGAGACGTTGAAGTTGGCCAGTATATCTTGGTGGGTCAGATGCAGTGGAGCAGCCACAGCCCTTGTCATCTGGATCCAGTGGGCCAGCTTTGTCTGAAGACCAGTGGGGCTGTCTGGGCAAGCAGGTGGTTCAGCCGCCATTGGATCAGTGAGTGCCAGGATAAAGAAACAAGAGTGTACTATATTTTGACTTCCGGTTTTCAGCAACTCGCAAGCAGGCATGCTCCATCATAGCTCCGATGTGAGCGCCCCGCAAACGTGCCGATGGGGGGGGTCCAAGTTGATCTTGAACCCTCCAGGCCCCCTGAAGGGGGGCCACAGCCTGGGACATTAGAGGTGCATCTCCCAAGGCGGAGGCCAAAGGATTGAGGCACCTTTTTGCCCCAAAAGGCCCCCACGGCATGGAGCCAGCATGGCACCAAGAGGCGCACACCAGACAGAGTGCACAAGGATTCCAAGGAATGATCCTCTCTACATATGTAATGAATGCAAGTACAAGCATGAGTGAAGATATGGCCCAGCAAACAATCAATAAAATGCTAGCAGCAAAGCCGTCCGAAAGCCCCAAACAAGTAGAAGGGGGAGGGGAATGCCAAATCCCAAAAAGACTGAATTTAAAGTGGGAGGCAGAAAGGGCAGCTTGAAGGAAGCGGATTGCGACGGACTGTGCGGTGGGCCATTAAGAAAGTGATAAATCACCAGACTTACAGAGAATTTTTAAACTTTCCTCTTCTGTAAACAATGACACAGCAAGCAGAATAAATGGCATCGGAAATGAAACTTATAACAGGAACAGCCAGCACATCATCATTAGCTACCAGACGGGAAGCAACCATAGACTTTCCCAAACTGATTGCTGCAGCTTTACGCCCTCTACTGGACCAGATGTTAGTGACAAGCTGTATACGTTGCAAAAGGAACTTAAAATTTCAGCGAGAAAGAAATAAAGCAGATGTTCCTGAAGCAACAACAGAAAGTGGAAGAGGGACCTGAGAAAGTGGAGGAGAATAAAGACGCAGAAGAAGAACATAGAGAAGGATGGGAAAGACTCTGATATTAATGCGATTAGTCTGGCTAAACCCTTTGACTTTGAAGCAGAACTAGGGGTTGCTACCCCCAAAGCATTTAAAAATTAATTTGGATTTTGACAGCAGGAGAAGAAAATGCAAAATAGCTTAATTTCAATAGCCTGATGTTTATTCTTAACGCATAACTCCAAACTAATATATAGTGATATATTATAGTGTTTATTGATAACGTAAAACTTTAAAATTATGTCCATTAGTGCTGTACGGTGTCGGCAGGTCTTTAAGATGTAAATAATAATTTTAATTTTAAGTGCTATGTGCAGAAATGTGAAATTTATATGTTGTGTTTTTATGTGAATCTTTTGACAAAACCAATAAAAAGATTATTAAAAAAAATTATGTCTGTGATTATTTGCCTTTTATATTTCTACAGTATTATCTCTCACGCTTCAGTATTCTGACAAAAGAGATGTATCAACAACTTCAAACTTTTGTAAAAATGATCCTTGGTACTCTAGTTTTAGGCTGTTCCCAACCCCCGACCCTGTAGTATTGTAGTTCTAGAAAAGGAGTAAAAATGTTTTGTTTTTTAAAAAGAGTGTACTATATTTCCACAGGTGAAGGCAAGGAGGAGGGCACAAATGGGTTGCTGGGCCATGGGGGGGAAAGGACCCCCCACTGCCCCAGCAGCTTCTCTTCACACCTACGGCATTGGAATGGCGGGAGCTGAGCACAGTTTTTGAATAGGGCCTGTCATGATCAGGGCTGTGCCACCAGAGGCCTACTAGGCCCAGGGAGCCTGGCTAGTAGTATGTAAGGCTGGGCCTACAACTCCCAGAAGCCTCTGAGAGGTTTTGGAGCCAAAATTGACCAATAGGGCTGGGGAACAAAAGGGCTGGTGCCAGAGCAGAAGCTGTTCTTTCTTCCAGAGGGCAGAGCCAGAAGGAAGGCTGCTGCAGGAAGAAACCCTCATCCTGAGGGAAGGGTGAGTAGTCTAGTTTCACTTGGAATAGTGAGCTAGGGACAGTATATATTTAGACGTGTTAGGGCATTTGATTTCTTTTCTTTTCACCCACTTATTGTTATAATTCTGCACCTTGTTGTTTGACCTCCTATAAAATAAACCTTTTCATTGTTCACTCTGCCTGGTCCTCACGCCTATTATTCGGCCAAAAGGGAGGTCTAAAGGTCTTGGGAAGGTGCTCTGGGCCTTCTCAAGGGAGTCTGGAACCAGAGTGGTTGCAGCGTCAGGTGACACCTCACCTGAGCCATGACAGGGCCTGATACCAAGTGCCTCATGGTCAGTTATTCCAGGGCTGCTAGCTGGTTTGTTATCAAAATGGCAACAGGTGCCATCAAAACATTATCCATATGCTGAGCAGTCATTTTGACTGGGATATCAGCTTTTACCAGCTACCAAATTAAAACTATGGTGGGGAGAAAATGGAGATCTGTTCTCCTTGCTTTTCTGTGACATTAAGAACATAAGAACATAAGAGATGCCAATGTTGGATCAGGCCAAAGGCCCATCCAGTCCAACACTCTGTATCACACAGTGGCCAGAAATACCAGGTGCCATCAGGAGGTCCACCAGTGGGGCCAGGACATTAGAAGCCCTCCCAGATTGAGGTGACTGAGGAATGTAAGGACAGGTTAAGGAGCAGGAGTAGCATTAGACCAGCCTACCTAAGGGACCGCCTTACCCCACATGTTCCCCCAAGGGCACTACGGTCAGGGAGCCGGAACCTATTGGAGGTACCGGGCCCCCGGTCCATCAAATTAATCATGACCAAAAATAGGGCGTTTTCGGTGGCGACTCCTATCTGGTGGAACGAGCTCCCAGAGGAGATCAGGGCTCTGCGGGACCTGGGACAGTTCCGCAGAGCCTGCAAGACGGAGCTCTTCCGCCAGGCTTTCGAATAGGAGCCGCCACCACCACTAGACCACCAATGCGCCAGTATCCCATCGACGCCCGGGAGGACATCTGGATACGGGCATGGATTGCCAAAGCCCTAAATACTTTCTTTGCATTATGGGCAAGATTGGGACGTTCAGAGGACCGCCATCTTGGTTTTAGCTAGTCTTGGTTTTAGCCAGTTTTGTTTTAGTTAGGTTATAAGTTATGATGTAATTTTAATATTTTGTATTGTCTTACTGTTTTATTGGGTTATTAATTATATGTTGTTAGCCGCCCTGAGCCTCCGGGGTAGGGCGGGGTATAAATATAAATAATAAATAAATAAATAGTATTTGGAGTATCCTTAGATGGGAGTATCCTAAGTATACTTAGAAGAAGGATGACTTAGCAGGTGCAACAGCTGATTTCAGGATGTGTAGGGTGCTGGAAAGTTAGTCCCAGGAATCTCCAGTGGTGAAAGATTCCATTTACTCCACTTACCCCTGAGCTGATGAGGCTGCTCGGGGGGGGGGCGGTATGAGTCGCACTGTGTCAGCCACAATGAAGCACTTCTTTCCAAGCATCTGCCTTGGTGGCAGGGGTCGTTTCATAGAAAAAGAGCTAGGGGAACTCATTAGCATAACTCATTAGCATATGCCACACCCCCTGACATCACCAGAAGTGTGTCATAAGGCCACACCCCCTGACATCACCAGAAGTGTTGGGGGGCCGGCGGTGGACCTGCAAGGCTGGCGGGAGTGCGAGGAAGCCTCGCCAAGACCCTCCCTGGCCCCAGGCAGGCAGGGGTGTAGAGAGGCGGGGAGGAAGCAACTTACCCTCCCTCTTCTCCTGCCTCCTCCTGGCTGAATGAGGGCCGGCAGCGGGGGGGGTGGGAGAAGGGGGCGGGGCTTCATCATGTGCCCCTCCCCCACACCTCACCCGGGGGAACTGCGATCCCCCACGATTCCCCCGAATCGACCTCTGCTTGGTGGCATTCTGTGCTGCTTTGCAGATTGGTGAGCTCTTAGCTCAGTCTCTCTGGGACATGTGTCAAAGGGCTTTGTAAGTGTCAGATGTGAAGCTCTCATCTGGTGAGGCAAGGCAGGGAATCTGGTCATCCAAGATAGACCAAAAGGGTGACAGCATGATGTGGTTTTGAAGACCAAAGGGAATCCTTGGCTTTGCCCTGTTAAGGCTTTGGGCAAGTGGTGACAGCCCAGGGTGCCTATTTCAGCATGGCAATGGGAGGCTGCTGATGTATTACCAGTTTGGGGCAGTCACCTGCAGTATCTCAGTGGAAGCAGGGCTGCCAGTGCCCTCGTTTGGGAAACACTCTTTTCATACTGAGGCTATGTTGATCTTGCCCTTTTCCCTCTCTCACACACAGGATTTTTCCTCTGGTTTTTTATTCCTTTCTGGCTGAGCAGCCCTTTTATCTACTTTCTTCTTATTTGAAGGCTATTCCACCATGATATATTATTATATTTTGATGCTGGCTCAGCCCAGGAACTTGAAGGTAGAGACAAGACCCCCTTCTTAAATGCATATTTCTGAAAATGGCACTTGAGGGGTTTTTGAAAGTTCAAAAATAAACAAGGGTCGCAATCACATGCAGAATTAGCTGCGTGATAGGCATGAATGCTGGGCGGATTTTAAGGGCGCGATCTCATAGGAACATCTGGCAAGCGTCCTGCACCCATCAGCAACCCGTCTCGCTCCACCAAAAAAGCAGAGTTAAAAAATACCAGGGAAAGTCCAGTATCAAACAGGTTGCTACGGGCCACAGATAGACTTTCCCCTGTGTGATCACTCCAGCGTGCTCTCATGGCATCTGACTCTGTGCCATTATTTTTTTTCCCTTCTCAGTATGTGCAACATCGCATACTGCCGTAGGAAGCCCTCAGTGTGGAGATGCGATTCATTGATCCTCCTTTTAAGTGAATTGAAAACAAACAGCAAAAAAACCCCAACCCCAACTCATCCATGATTGCGTCTGATCATGCAGTGGTGGGCTACCCCCGCATCTTCAAAGAAGTGTGTTAACGCAACTGTGGGTCCATTTCCTCTGGGTTAAATAGCCTCACTTCCCCCGCACATTATCTTGTGCATGTGACCGGGACCAAGATATTTTATTCAGCTTGGGGGGGGGGGGAAATCAGGTGAAATCAGGGGTAAAATGTCTGTGGTGAATAGGTAGTAACTCTGAAGTAATTTAGTGAATTCACAAACTCCAGTTAATATGTTTCCAGCAAGTGAAACTTTTAAGCTTTTCACAAAGTCTTAGAATCTTTGATAGGAAAGGCTTTGATTTCACTGCTAGACACTCCAGTATAAGTTATTGAATTTAAATGACTCTTCCAATTTCAGAAGGCAGGGGTATACTACCAAGTACCCAAATTCCTTCTCTAAACAAACCAGGGATCACTCCACTCTTTTAGAGCTATCTCCCTTTTTAACTGGGCAGGGTATTACTTCTCTAAACTAGAAGCTCTGTCTCTTTTTCTGACCCACTTAGGACAGAATGATTACACTTAGGATAGAATGATATGGTGTAGACCAAAAGGAGCTGCACTTGTATTTAAAGAAGATTAAGGCATTTAAAGAAGATTAAATCAGATTGCCCTGGACTGTTGGTAGTCTGGATGGAATTCCTCCAGAGGCATATCTGGAGTGGTGCCCTCAAGCCCATGGCCATTGAAAAACCAGCCATAGCACTTATATGGCCATTACTGGTAGGAGATATGAAACACATCAGGGGAGAGGGATACATCGTGGAACCGCTCTGCACAAAGGGCTGTACAGGTGGTGAAAAGCAAGGCCAATGGAAGTGCCAGCTGAATTTGGAATGGAGGTGGCTTTGCCAGGAAAGCAGACCAGATGGATGCCTAGAACAGCCTGCCCTCAAAATCACCAGCTTATTCAATAAGCAGTGATGTAGATCAGCCATTTAATTAATGTAAATATCATAAATAAATAATAGCAGTTGAACCCCAAATGTTGTTGTTTTGTGTTATCGTGGGGGGGGGGGGCTGTGCCAAAACAATCCTGCATTGGATTATTAATTAATAATTTCTTCCTGAAAATACATTACCTTCATCAATGTTTGGCCCATCAAAAATGTTTCTGCTTTCAAAGAAAAGATTAATTATATACCATTAATGCAAGTTGTTGCCATTTGTAACTGGCATATTGCAGAGGCAGAATTAGTCATTTGATTGATTGTGGTGTGTGAAAAGAACAAATTTTCAAGCTGCTTTGTCTCTTATTTTCCTTGAAACTATTTTGTTCTGCTTCATAATCAGTTCTCCAGTATAAAAATGCAATATTACTATGGTGTTTCCTTTATCAATGTCCTCTTTTTTTCTGTTAATGGTACAACACAGTAATAACATGCAGGAAACGTTGTGCCAAATCTGCTGTCTTTATATCCTAAATCTTCTGTCTGTATATGGTGGCTAAAGTTAAAATCCATTTTTGAATCAGAAGCAAGCAAACTTTCCAAGTACATACCATGATTCGGCGGGGGACACAGACATCCTCGCAGGATCATTCCTGCGGGGACAACAGATGCGCTGCACCATGCCGTCCCCAGGAAGTGACGCTGAGCGACGCTCTGGCAATGGGGCTGGAAACTCAATGGTACCATCGAGTTTTCAGTCCCATTGCCAGAGCGTCGCCCAGCGTCACTTCCTGGGAACAGCATGGTGTGTTACAGGGAGGAATGGTCCGGCCGGGGAGCATGTTTCCCCCACCGGTTCACGGTAAATACTTGGGAACCCTAGAAGCAAGTCTCTATTCTGTTGACTATATTCTGCTGAACAGGGGTCATTTCATAGAAAAAGAGCTAGGGGAACTCATTAGCATATCTCATTAGCATATGCCACACCCCCTGACATCACTGGAAGGGGCGGGGGGTGATGCCGCCATGCACCATGGCCAGAGCAGGCCCCTTTCAGGGGCGGCCGGGGAGAAGTTTGCGCCCGCCTGAAGTTGCCACAGGGCGGAGGAAGAGAGCCGCTCCAAGGCGCTGTCTTGCTCTCCAAGCCAGCACCCGAGAGGCCCCAGTTCACTCCAGAGCCGCTCCAGCCGTCACCAGCAAGCACCAAGGGCGGCGGTGGCGGCAAGAGCGAACCAAACCCGGAGCAGCAGCAGCTGCGGCGGAAGATCAACAGCCGAGAGAGGAAGCAGATGCAAGATCTGAACCTGGCCATGGATGCCCTGTGGGAGGTGATCATGACCTACTCTGCTGCCCACTGCCAGAGCTCCCCGGACTGGAAACTCTCCAAGATTGCCACGCTGCTCTTAGCCAGGAACTACATCCTCTTGCTGGGCAGCTCTTTGCAAGAACTCCGGCGCCTCATTGGGGAGATGAGCGGCGCCGGGCCCAGGCTGCTGCTGGCTGGCTTGCCTCTCTTTGCCACTGTCACGGCAGGACCAGGGGGCGTGACACAAGCAAGCAAAAGTCCAGGAACAGTCCGAGGTCAAGCCGGGCAACCAGGTAGCAAGGTTCAAGCAGGTTTAAATCACAGTCCAAAAGCAGGGTCAGACATACCAAAGTTTCAAGTCCATAAATCACAACAATACCAGAGGAGTCAGAGATGAACGCAGGGTCAACAAAGCCGAAGGTCAAAAGCCAAGGATCAAGCCGAGAAGAATTCCACATGGTCTGGAGCAGAGATGCAAGGATTCAGGTCCTGAACAAACGACGTTGCCAGCACAAATGACTGCTGGCAACAGACTTGCATATATACAGTGCTAGCTAATCAACTCATTAGCTAGCCAGGAGTGAGGACAGGATCCTGTCAGTAATCAGGGCTAAGAGATCTTCTGGCACGCATGCGTGCATTCTGCCTTCGCTCTCTCAGCTGTTGTCTTCTTACATCCCTGAGCCTGGTTACAGGTGGAGGCGAGTCTGATGATGAATTACTGGGCTGCAGCAGAGACTGATCCCTTGCAGGTGTTCCCTGGGAGGCTCTATCCTCCTCACCACTTAGATAGCTTTCAGCTACAGGATCCAGTCTTTGCCTTTCTGCTGCAGTACTGTCCTCAGGAGCCTGTTCAGGGTCCTCAGGAGCCTGTTCAGGGGCATCAGCAAAGGCAGGCATGACATCAGCAGGGGCAGGCATGACAATTATTCATTGAGTAACAACATGCTTCTTCTTTTTTTTTGTCCTAAGTCTTTTGTCTGTCAAAGTCATTATGTCCAAGTTCTGATACTGTAAGACATGAAAAAGTTCTATGTGTCTACTTTATCCATCCATCCATATGTTTATAAACCTCTGTCATTATCATTGTGAGTTGTCTTTCTTCTCTAAAAGCCCTAGCCTAATAGGAAAAGGTGCTGCACTTGAGGTATAACTTGGAGTAAAAATACATAGCCCACTTGAAGGAAAACTCTCTAGCACTGCCATATAGTTAAAAACCTGATTTAAAATATGCTCTGTACTTGGATGAACAGCCACAATATTTTTATATTATCAGTGTTCTCCAGAAATGTTCCAAGCTACTAGAAATGTGCAAATACAGTTATATGGTTGTGTCATTCTTTGCAGTAAGTGATGTCATATTTTCACTTTGGAGCAGATGGGAGGCTTCAGCTCTTATGATTAGGGCAAGATTTTTTTCTTCCACAAGTCAGGAGGTCTTGAAGATTAAAAGCTAGCCAGACTGAGAGAGAATGCTAATAAAAGTGAGAATTGGTCTTTAACCTTTTTTTTTAATGCAGCAGTCTAATCTTAATTAATTATCTTAAAGAACTCTCTTGAAAATTCATATTATCTATAGACAGAAAACATCTAATTGAAAACATAAATCTGGTTTTGCACCCCGCAACCCCAGATATAGAACATTAGTTGCGTAAGTTTTCATTGCAGAAAATATGGGGCAGTTATCCACAGTGAAGTGTCTGGTTTCAGGAAGGATTTTTTAATAACTGAATCAAATAGAGGAGATGAGAGATGACATTCTAAGGATGATAGTCACTGGGGGGGGGGTAGCAAACATCCAAGGGTTTTTATAGAACTCAGATATGAAATTGTTGATCTTCTAACAAAAATGTGCAATGACTTTTAATATTTTGAACAGGGATCTAGAAGATATCCAGAAATGTAAAGGCCCATGTGATGCCCATTCTCCACTCACGCAGAGAGCATATCACCCTCTACAACTTCTCTTTCTCAGGTTCAGGGTTACAAGTTAGGATGTCACATTCACCACCCTTCTTGTCTCTTTTAAAATATATAAAGAGCCATGACCATTTCACATCTCAGGTTCTTTCTCTCACAGGGACATCAGCAGACAATGGACCACAGCTCCCTTTAATAACAGGCCCTCAGTCAGACACTTCACTGAATTATTGGAGCTGGGGCTCATACATTGTTCCATTCACATGCTGCCGCCATTTATTCATATCCTCAGATGTATGTAGACTGAGATCCTTTGTTGGTTTCTGTGTGTGTTTCTTTCCCTGAGTAGTACACAGATTTAAACAAACAGAGAATTAACTTTTATTTATGGTTTGAACATAACATTGAAGAAAATTAAGTCGATGTTACAATATTAAACTGTTTTGAACTGTTTCCCTATTTCTACAGTTGGGATCCTTTGTTACAAATTGACTCTTCAGCCAGCTCAAAGTGGCTCTTCTCCACACTTTCACTCCATTAGACATACTCTTCTCTCTCTCAGCTCCCTAGCTGCTCTCTTAACTGCTCTTTTCCAGCTGTCTCTCTCTAACATTCTGTCAGTTCTCATTCGTCACTCTTAGGGACTGGGGGAACTTAACCTATCAGGTAACTTGTTGGAAAACATTATTAAAAATTATTATTATTAACCATGTAGAGAAAGGAGACCTACTGGGGAAGACTCAACATAGCTTTCTGTAAAATTCTGTTTCACTAAACATTTGAAGTTGATTGAGAAGTTGAGTGGTCCATGGACTCATTTCCCCTCAGGGGCTCAAAATTAACCTTAGGAAGGTGGAAGCAGTCCTGACTTGGCAACCTCTAAAGAACTTGAAAAAGCTGCAACACTTTCTGGGGTTTGCTAACCACTACTAGCATTTTCCACCCAATTTCTTCTTGTCTGTATCTCCTTTGACCAAATGGCTTTCAGGGTCAGTTCCCCTTTACTGGGAACTCAGTATCCCAGCAAGCATTCCATTGCCTGAAATGCTTGTTTGCTACTGAAACTATCTTGGCCCATCCTGACACCAAAATACCCTTTGTTGTGGAAACTAGGGCATCTAATGTTGACATATGGGTGGGCCTTCTGTAGAAGAGCACTGCTCAAGCTTCCCTGAGGCTAGGATAAAAAGTTCCTGACTATCAAGATTGCCATTGAGACCTGGCATCACTACCTGCAGGTTACATCAAGAAGGACCATCAAAACCAGTTTGGTGTAGTAGTTAAGAGCGGCAGACTCTAATCTGGAGTACTAGGTTTGATTCCCTACTCCTCCACATACAGCCAGCTCGGTGACCTTGGGTCAGTCACAGTTCTCTCAGAGCTGTTCTCTCAAGAGCAGTTAATTAAAAAAAATTTTTAATTAGTTTATATACAGGAAGGGGGAAAGGGGAAAGGAGGCAGAAAAAAATACAGAAATATTTAAAAATTCCAATTTAGCATTCTGCGTGGATATTTTCTCATTACAATTTTACAACTACTTCATCTATCATTCTTATTATTCTTCACTTGATCTTATTTTCTTAATACTTAAGTTTTAACCAGTCATGGGACACCCTCCAAGGTCCCAGAAATTCTTCTTCCATTTTTCCTTTTAATATATTTATCAACTTGTCCATTTCAGCACATTCCATAATGTTCAATATCAATTCATGTAGCATTGGAATCTTCAATGTCCTCCATGCTATTGCAAATAAAATTCTGGCAGGTGTTATAACATGTAAAATAAAATATCTGTCAATCTTATCTAACTCATCTGGTAAACAATTTAACAAAAATATATCTGGTTTAAGAGGTATTGTGATATTCAAGATTAATTGTAAGAAAGTATGCACTTCAATCCAGAATTTATGAACCTTTTTACATGTCCACCACATATGATAGTACGACCCAATATGGTTATTACATTTCCAACACATATTACTCTTTATATATTTTAGCCAATCTTTCTTTTACTTGCCATCTATAGAACATTTTATATAAGTTTTCTTTAAATGAAACATATTTAGTCAATTTAATATTCACTTTCCATATTTTACTCCACTGTGGCAGATCGATGTTATAACCCACATTTTGCATCCATCTAACCATACATTCTTTAACTATTTCATTCTGCATTTTCAATTGCATCAGCATACCATACATTTTCTTAATAAGTATCTCTCTGTTTTTTATAATATAAATTTTTATTTTATTTTTATAATATACAACTTTACAACAAAAACATAACTCTAAAGTAATTGTGAGTTAAATACAATCAACAAGAAAAAGGGAAAAAACAACAACAACATAATCATAAAGGCTATTTTCTTAACCAATTACAACCAAAAATGGACCTTCTGGTATTACATCATATGAACTATATCATAATATTTCTTAGGAGCCTGAACAGAATTGGATGATTCATTATTGAAAGTAAATTCTAGAAAGGGAAACCATTTTAACTGGAAGTTAGAGTGCCCATACTGAGTTGAGAAAGTAGAAACCTTATCTGATAACTTGTCCATATGCCCTTTAAGGAGGCTTAAAATGAAACAAACTTTAGCCTTCTCAGAAACAAAGTCCCGAGCCCTGAGCTCAATATACAGATTACATTGGGCAAGGAATGCCTGGAACTCATCAACATTCCCACCGAAACGATCAGGAGGATTTATTGGGCAACGTGGGGGAGGTGTACCAGCATTTGCTACAGCAACAGCATTTGTAGCAGCCTGTTGTTGCAAAGCAATCACAGCTTGAGTTAAGTGCTGTACCTGTGCTAGCATTTCCTCCATGGGGTCCACACCTCCGGTTGCTCCGTCTTCCATGGTGGGGATGTGTGAGCGTTGTGGGTGCTGGCAATCTGTCACGGCAGGACCAGGGGGCGTGACACAAGCAAGCAAAAGTCCAGGAACAGTCCGAGGTCAAGCCGGGCAAATCAGGTAGCAAGGTTCAAGCAGGTTTAAATCACAGTCCAAAAGCAGGGTCAGACATACCAAAGTTTCAAGTCCATAAATCACAACAATACCAGAGGAGTCAGAGATGAACGCAGGGTCAACAAAGCCGAAGGTCAAAAGCCGAGGATCAAGCCGAGAAGAATTCCACAAGGTCTGGAGCAGAGATGCAAGGATTCAGGTCCTGAACAAACGACGTTGCCAGCACAAATGACTGCTGGCAACAGACTTGCATATATACAGTGCTAGCTAATCAACTCATTAGCTAGCTAGGAGTGAGGACAGGATCCTGTCAGTAATCAGGGCTAAGAGATCTTCTGGCACGCATGCGTGCATTCTGCCTTCGCTCTCTCAGCTGTTGTCTTCTTACATTCCTGAGCCTGGTTACAGGTGGAGGCGAGTCTGATGATGAATTACTGGGCTGCAGCAGAGACTGATCCCTTGCAGGTGTTCCCTGGGAGGCTCTATCCTCCTCACCACTTAGATAGCTTTCAGCTACAGGATCCAGTCTTTGCCTTTCTGCTGCAGTACTGTCCTCAGGAGCCTGTTCAGGGTCCTCAGGAGCCTGTTCAGGGGCATCAGCAAAGGCAGGCATGACATCAGCAGGGGCAGGCATGACAGCCGCCCCGAGTCCGGTGCTTCTGACGCCGGCGGGAGCCTTGAGCCACCCCCACCCGGACAGCGTGCGCTCAGCCAGCAAATACCTGTCACTGGAGGAGCAGCAGCAGTGTGGCCAAGTCCATCTGCCCGGTGGGGCCAGCCTCTGCCCCTGCACCCTGTGCAAGTTCTCCCACTGCCTCCCCACTGGACCTGCGCAGTTCTCCAAGTGACCGCCCCGGGCCGGGGAGGTAGACGAGGAGCCCGAGACGCCGGAGGGAGGGGCGGGGAGAAGAGAGAGGCCACGCCACGTGTGCGGGAGTGGCATGTGTGAACACCAACCCCTCGTTGTGCTCGTCCTCGGGAAAGGGATGCCAGGGACAGTCTCGCGATCAGATCCACAACTCTCAGCGCTGACTTGCCCGGCCTCTGCAGCAGAGCAGCACCTCCCCACCCTGGCCTGCCGTTGCTCCTCGTGGTGTTGGGGGGGGAGAGGTCCGGCGGGGCAGCTGGGCTGAGCTGGGGGGAGGACGGCCCACCCGCCAGCCAGCCAGCCACCGCCGGCGTGCTTCCACTGGCTCCAGCAGAGCGGGGTCTCCAGGCCCCGCCGGGGGAACGGCGATCCCCCGCGATCCCCCCGAATTGACCTCTGCTGCTGAATATTGAGTTGTTGCTTTAATTGAATATTATGTGTTCATAGTCCCCCCGTGCAGTAATTTGACTTTTGTCACTGCCAGATCAGAGTATTACATAGCCACTGACATCTTCTGAGCCTTATAATCCTTCTTTAAAAGAACTATCAAAAGTAAGGCCACCTACATCTTAAATGGAAAGAGTCAATCATCACACTCCACCACCTTTTTATTCACATGCAGCCAGAAAGTATATGAACCTACAGTTTAATATTAAATATGCTAGGACAAAATAAATTTACAGTTCTGTTTAATAATTTGGTGGCTACCTCAATGCAAAGTTTGGAGGATAAGTTCCTGCAGTCTCTCTAGTATAATAAAAGACAAGCACTGGATCTAGTAAAAAAGGACTAGGTATTGTCACCTGGGACTCATGGGTAGCTAGTTGCCTATTGCTATAACTGGATCTGGGCTTAATTTACAGTAGTATAAGCCCATTCTCATTGATAAGCATAGACTGGAGTAACTTTGCACATGACTTTGCTGTAACTCTTTCAGCCCCCTCCTCTCCTCCTGTTTCCAATGATCTTCCATAGTCTAGAACTGGGGTGATATAAAGGGTTAGAGACTGTGCTATGAATCAGAAGCTTTCTTCTTCAAAGCTTATCTCTGAAACAGTCATTCTTTCTTATTATATTGCTTTCATCTGCAGTATGAGAATAACAACACTGGCATACCTCACAGGGTTGTTGTAGGGATTGTGTGAATGAATTTGAAATGTTTCCAGCACTTTAAAAGATCTGACAGTAGGTGATGTGAAAGACCTCTGCCTGAGACCTTGGAGAGCTGCTGCCAGTCTGAGTAGACAATATGGTACATATTGACGGTACATAACACAATACTGACTTCGATTGACCAAGGGTCTGATTCAGTATAACACAGTTTCATGTGTTCAATGCATCCATGGCAGGCAGTAGTTCTCACACTACACTCCTGATACAATTGAGAGGAGACATTGATGAAGGACAATCCTCTCCCTGTATTTCATTTCAGCCACTCAGTCACATACATGGCTGATCCATAGCATTTTAAAAAGTAGCCATATTAATTATACTACATAGATCTCATATTTTGCTATGGTGGCCCTCATGTGTTACAGGAACAAGGATATTCCCCTGCCTTCTTCCACATACTTCAAAGAATGTTTGCACTAGGATGTGCACTTCAATGTCTCATGATACTTTCAATAATGCTAGGGAAAGCTGATGACAGTAGGTAAAGAGGAAGACTCAATATGAGATGGATTGACTCTGTAAATGAACCCATGGCCCTCAGTTTGCAAAACCTGAGCAAGGTTGTTAACAATAGGACATTTTGGAGGTTAATAATTCATAGAGGTGCCATAAGTTGGAAGCAAATTGATGGTACATAACACATACACAGGATTTGAGACTCAGTGAGTCCAATTTGATTATATGAACAGTATCTATCCCCTAGTCACAAGTTAGGAAATAAAGAACAAAACAATTGGATGTGGTTATATTTATCAGTGTTCATGGAAGGATCTCACAAATGCAGGTCATCTAGACAACACATTCTGGGCATTTTAGTTAGTTTCATTTGACAGATATTACCTTCACCGAAAGAATCTGGCTCTGTTATGGTGTAGAAATGTAGGGAAAGGAACAGGGCAGTGATAAGCTTCAGAAAGACACTTCATTCACTAGAACTGAACTTCCTTGCCTGTCCTTCCCTTTGCATTATACCACTCTGGGGTGGGGGGATAGCATAACAGATAGCTGGGTGGGAACGGCTGGGTGTCTGTGACCAATCTCCTTGTATGTGGAAATACTGTGAACTTTGTGGCAGGCATTTTCAGCAGGCTGCCACAGGTATAGACATAGTCTGTGGTCATACACACTAAATAATCCACTTTCAATTCACTTCCAATGCTTTAGGCTGATCCTGCCTTGGGCAGGGGGTTGGACTAGGTGACCCCTTCCAACTGTATTATTTTATATAAACAGCAATTAAAATATAGAGAAAGGAAGGAAAGATCACTGAAGGGATGTCAGGCAAAACAAAGAAGTCTTTGCCCAGTGGCAGAAAACAACAACAGAAGCAGAAAGCTGAGTGTCCCTGGGGAGAGAATTAGAGTTTTGGTGCCAGAACCAAAAAGGCCCTCTCTGCATTGCACACATCACCTGAGCAGGAGACAGAAGACAGCGTCTCTCTTCTGTAGGCTATTAAAACTCTCATTTGCACAATGGGAATAGGAAATCATGACCTGTCATATGGGTAAACTTTTATCTCCTTTCTCAGCATTCTTCAACAGAAAGATAGAAAGCTTTATTTTTGGAACAATGGAAAATGTGTGTCCGAATATTTCTGAATTCTGGGCTGGATCCTGACTTAGTTTCCCACTAACAGAAGACACTTCATTCACTAGAACTGAACTTATTTGCCTCTCCTTACATTATACCACTCTGAAATGCTGGTCCTATGGGGACTGTGGGCCCCTGGGGACAGCATGAGTCATCAGTGGGAGATCAACAGGAGGGAGAAAGTGGCTGGAGTTAACAACAACAACTACTACTACTACTACTACAACATACTGTTGGCAGACAGTACAGTTGGGATTCGACCCTTTATTACCTTAGCATATTCATGCTTATACTTGGTGAGTCAAAGCTTGACCATATAATTTTGTGGGGACTGAAATGTGAAATGAATGAGACATGGGGCGATTTCGCACAAGACTTTGGCCCGCGGTCAATCCTCTGTTTTCTCCAGTGCATCTTGTCAATTTCACACCATTTGACTCGCAGCCTGCTTTTGGCCCGGAGTTTCCCCCGATTTGCTCCGCATCAGCGTGATTCTCAAATCCCAGGATTTTCCTTTTGCTTTGCAGTGAATCTAGCCCACCTACCTTTCCCCCTCCCCACTTTTTCCATGCCCATTAGCCCACCCTCCCCCTTTTTTCCCTTTTTTTAAAAAAATCCTGTCGTTATATCGTTGTGAGCAAGCAATTCGGCTACTGCATAAATTGGTTTTGCTCTGAAGCCATCCTTCCTGGTTCTCTCACTCGGCGGCTCAGCCAGTCGGGCCGCTGCTGCTCCCTTTCCCATTCCATGCTGGGGCCTTCGTGGTGCCCCCTCCCCCTCGAGGCTGCTGAGCGGCCGTCGGGGGCTAGGGCTGTGCTGCCTGCGGCCTCGCGGCTCCCTCGCTCGGCGGCTCGGCCAGTTGGGTCACCGGCGCTCCCTTTCCCAGGACTGCGCCTTTCGTGGTGTCCCCCTCCCCTCGCGGCTGCTGGGACCAGCCTTGGTGGAGGCTGCAGCGCAGCTCCCCGGGCGGTCCGTGGGGTGAGGCCAGCTACAGGGCTCGGGCCGAGGGCGGGCGGCCATGGCCTCATGGCCCCTCTGCTCGGCCTGCCGCCTCCTCACTGCACCCTTGTGCGCCCAGGTGAAATGTGCTTTCCAGCTGTGGAGTCTTGTGAACAAAACTTTTACTTTGTGAGCAACTGGCATTAAAGTTGTGAGCAAGCAATTCGGCTACTGCATAAATTGGTTTTGCTCTGGAGCCATCCTTCCTGGCTCTCTCGCTCGGCAGCTCGGCCACTCAGGCTGCTGCCGCTCCCTTTCCCGTTCCATGCTGGGGCCTTTGTGGTGCCCCCTCCCCCTCACGGCTGCTGGGCGGCCATCGGGAGCTAGGGCCGGGCTGCCTGCAGCCTCGCGGCTCTCTTGCTTGACCACTCAGCTAGTCGGGCCACCATAGCTGCTCCCTTTCCCGGGACTGTGCCTTTTGCGGTGGACCCCCCTTCCCTCGCGGCTGCTGGGACCGGCCTTGGTGGAGGCTGCAGCGTGGGGGGAGGCCAGCTACGGGGCTTGGGCCGGGGGCGGGCGGCCATGGCCTTGTGGCCACTCCGCTCAGCCTGCTGCCGCCTCACTGCACCCTTGCACACCCAGGTGAAATGTGCTTTTCAGCTGTGGAGTCTTGTGAACATTCTTCCCGTGCTAAGGCAAAAATGTGTGAGTTGAAGGCAACTTCTGGATTGCTTGGTAAAAACGGTCAAGAAATTCAGAGTGGAATCCATACACGGCAATATCCACTCAAGCAATGAGCTTACAACAGCGAGTGCTTTCTCCCCACGGTCCTCCATTATGGCCAAAAGTATCAGGGAAGAGAGGTTCAAAATGGAAAATCCCCAGACCTTTTTAAAAAATTCCTGGCTCAAAGAACAAAGATTACCAATCAGAAAGCTGAAGATGTGCCACATGATGCCTGCTCATTCCCATTGTTGTGTAATAATAATGTAAGGTGATTGAGCATGCCTCTAAAAAAAGGGGGTGGGTTGGAGGGAGGATGGGAGGATAGGAGGGGTTTGGAGGGTGAGGGGCGGGAGTGGGAGGAGGTAGATTGCAGGAAACCACTCCAAGGCTGTAATGCGAAAATGAAACCCCTGAGCGGATCCGGGGCAGACTGGCAGGAAATGCTTTAAATGTGAAATTGACAAAAATGACCCAGGGCGGAAAACTCCGACAAGAACCAGGGGTTTTTGCCAAGTGAGAAATCGGCCATGGTTGCTACTCAAGAGGTACACA